TGAGTGGAATAGAACCAAATGTCATAACGAACAATTATAGATTCCCAACAGAATTGTTGTAATTGAATATTCAAACAGAACGTGACTAAAGCAATCATGAGTCATAAATATTTTCCCGGAAACAATATTACCATAGAAACAGAAGAGAATAGAGAGCCCAGCTGGTGTTTGAACGCACTTTATTAGTAGGAACAGGTTTCAAATTTCTTCTGTATTCATATATCATATTAAGTTCTTCTAGATGGTGTATGATGAATTTTATTATGTTTCGAAAGTAGATCATATACACTTCGTTTGGGAATTTTTTAAATGTTATAAACATGATTGCAAGCCAACATTTATTTTGTACTCATTAGTTCTATATTGTATAAAACAATACTGATAAAATATTTGCATTTTTGACAAGCACCCTACCTTCTTCAAGTCCAAGAAAATAGGCCCACTTTTCGAAAGCGATAGTTTTATTTAATATTATTTTTTCTAACTTATGATCCTCTGTAATGAGAAGATGAAGATTACTTTCGCATAAGCATTTTTTGTTTTTATATTATTTAAGTTTCGTTGTTCGTATGTTGTTGTATTACAAGCGCAAAGCTGCGCAATAGGCTATCTTGTGCTGTGCCTGCCTCAAGGATCTGGTCCTGAATTTTAATGGGGGAAAACCCTCAAGCTTACAGCTCAGGCACCGTAGGAGATGGCTGTAAGTTAGAATATGACTGTTTGATATGTTTTATTTATGTGTTACTGAATTGCATGAAACTATAAGAAACAAGTGTTTATCATGCATCATCGTACATGACTTAGTGAGGTTTCTCACATGACCTTGGAATACGACATGCCTGAATTTTGTGATGTACATGTACATCTCCTCATTGCCTACTGTTAACTGTCAAAACGGGTGACTTGGCCCTCCAAATCTTTTCCTATCAACAGGAAATCCTGACATTGTAACAAAGACACACTGCATACTCTCTACTTACTTGACAAAAATACTCTGCACCAAATCTGTATTTTTCTCATTCTCTACCTTGAAGTTAGCCATTAAGTGAACGTTGTTTACATGTATAACTTCCCACCCAACTATTAGTTCTAGCAGTAGAAAGCTTGTCATACAGTTAGCTCACTTGTGACGTCACGTCCACACGCAGTGCCAGCTACTGTGAGTCTTGGGACAGTAAATATACGACTACTTCAAGAAAAACAAATTACAATTGTTGTTCCTAACGTTTTCTTTAAATTGTAACTTACAATTCGTACAAACAATTTATACTATTTGATAAAATGAACACGTCCAATAACAATGAAAGTATTTTCATTTGGTACAGTAAAAATATGATTTGGAATTTATGTTTACGTGTACGATTTCATCCTTTTGATATTTTCCACAATTGGATAAATACTTAGTCTCTACTGGCGACTCTCTCAATTTTAACTATAAAATTACACATTTTATGTTAGACTAGCCCTCACCATCAGATCTGGTGGTTAGCATAATCGACTCGCAATCTACAGGTTCGAATCCCCATCGCCGAACATGCTCGCCCTTTCAGAAGTGGGGTCGTTATAATGTGACGATCAATTCTGCTATTCTTTGGTAAAAGAGTAGTCTAAGAGTTGGTGGTGTTGATTAGCTATCTTCCCTCTAGTGTTTCACTGGTAAACTATGAACGGCAACCTGGAGAGGAAATGGGCGCCACCAGGTAGATTTCCCCGAGAATCATCGATGTTGCATCGAAATCATCTAAGGTGCCCCAATGGTGGTAAGCGACCTCGGACCCCCACCCCTCAAACACACTCACACTCAAAAAATAAAAGATACAGACGAGTGTTTGAAGTTATATAAAAGCTGGTCTAAAAACAATATTGATTTAAGACATGTATTAGTGAACCAACTCACGAGCAAAATATTGAGTTGTAACCAATTTCTGAACCCTAGTTCTTTACTGTGCGCGGTATTTACAGATGAGTTGACAGCCAATCTTTGTATGTTTCACTCAATGAGTTTCATCCCCTAGTTCGGTATCAGCGTGGTGGAGATTTCAGGTCAAAACTCTCAATTTCCCTACAATTGCACTTGAGATTGATGACATTGACCTAATTTCCCGTTTTTAACGACCTTCCGTAAGTAAAACGTCTGACGTACTCGCAGATAAACAACCACTCACACAAGTTTGCTAGTAATACGAGAATAACCTAATACTTTTTTTCTAATGGTAATTACACAACCATTTCCAGCTTTAAGATAAAAAAAGTGTTAATCTGTAACAATTTCTTTCAGTTTCCAGTCAGAAATTTACATTTGATACAAAATTTATTTACTTTAAATATCTTGTATGTTTTAATCACTTTTCCATCTATGTACGTTAACTTAGGTTTTGATGTATTTTAGTTTTATCTAGTTTTCTTTACATCTATGTACGTTAACTTAGGTTTTGATGTATTTTAGTTTTATCTAGTTTTCTTTACATCTTTTGTACGTTAACTTAGGTTTTGATGTATTTTAGTTTTATCTAGTTTTCTTTACATCTTTTGTACGTTAACTTAGGTTTTGATGTATTTTAGTTTTATCTAGTTTTCTTTACATCTTTTGTACGTTAACTTAGGTTTTGATGTATTTTAGTTTTATCTAGTTTTCTTTACATCTATGTACGTTAACTTAGGTTTTGATGTATTTTAGTTTTATCTAGTTTTCTTTACATCTATGTACGTTAACTTAGGTTTTGATGTATTTTAGTTTTATCTAGTTTTCTTTACATCTGTTTCTTTGTCTTCACAAATTATTTTTCGTACTCTATTATGATTTTTTCCTTCTTGTAGAAACACAATGACCTTACTGACTAGTTGATGTTACGTAAAAATTCACAATTCCTTTAATAGATATGTATTAGTTTTCAAAGAGAAGGTGTGGGTGTTATATTTAAACTCCAACTAGGAAGCTACCGTATTCACAGCTACATCTGGTATTGTTAAACACATGAGTTAAATGACATCCAACTTTTCAAACACTTATTTTTACATTTTTTAAACAAAAGCAACCATTAATTAATGTGCTATTTAATATATATTTTACGAAAACATTTTGTGTTTAAATAAGTAGGTTTACTGTGCTTTACTAAAACATGTTTGTTTGTGTTGAATTTCACGCAAAGCTACACGAGCCGTCCCTAATTTAGTACAGGGAAGGCAGCTAGTCATCACCACCCACCGCCAACTCTTGGGGAATAGTGGGATTGACATTCACATTATAACGCCCCCACGGCTGAAATGGCGAGCATTTTTGGTGTGACGGGGATTCGAATCCGCGACTCTCAGAGTGCGAGTCGCGTGCCCTAAGCACCTGGCCATGCCTGGCCTATTAAAACATAAAACGTAATTACGTGTTAACTATCTATAGAAACACTTCCATATTAACTTAAACCCTAAAGAAAACCTTGATGTGGAGGTGGTATTCAGCCAATTTACAAGATCAAGATTTCTCTAAAAAGTAAAATTAACCTCGTAGCAACTTACAAGTCAAGAAATAGTCATGTTGCTTACTTAAAATGAAGTTTCAAAGTCCCATAATTACATTCACAATAAATTTGTGAACTGTTAACCAGCTCAATTCAAAGAACTATATATAGTTTTTATATTGGAAAAACTTTTATTATTTTTTACATAGATTTACACTTGCATGAACATCAATAAAATATTAAATAAATTCTGATTGGTCCACGTAACCAATTATGAATGATTTGAACTCTACGATTTAAGGCACATCATAATGAACCATTACTTAAACCATTTACTCTCTTTTTGTGACCTTAAAATTTAATTGTGCGAATCACACACGGCATTAAGACGAACACCAGGACGTAAATATATATATAAAAAAAAACTTATTAAACTTTGGACTGCGATGAGGGTGAAATTACTATAAACTTACATAGTATTACTACTATCACTATCAGCGAAGTCTTTGGCAATATAAGCCTTTACTCAAACTTAACAGAAGTTTAAAGTTTCGCATAAAAATCAGAATATCATTCACAAACTTGAATACGTTCATAAACTTTTTTTAGTCTTACCTTAGGCAATTTTAAAACAAATAAATTACTTAAATACAAAATATAAAGAGACGTTGTTTTGTCCCCATTTTAAATCATAACATAAAACTTTGAAATTAATAAAAATATTTGCCTCGGAGGATAGAACAACAGAAGTAGAATTATAACTTAATTGTCTACGTGTATAGATGAAAAAGACAGAATACATACTCAACTAAACACTCATCTCTTGGTTTGTTGTTGACAACTGAAAAACAACGGCTTAGTTTACAATGATATTAAAATAAATATATATTGACAAGGAAAGCTTGGCGAATTATGTAGGTATTTGAGCCTAACAGGAACAGTTAAAATCAGACTGGCATATGGTCAAATTTTTTGATAACAGTATGGAAATTATGTTTAAAAAAGGGACTTCAGACCTTCAAGGTAAACTAAAGCCAAATTTGAGTTGGACCACAAGTTCGCGTGGTAGTCTCAAATCAAGTTCAATCGAAGCTCGCCAATCGGCTGAAAATAGGCAGACGTGGAAGACCATGGCTGACGTCATGAAGGGAACTGAAAGTTGCTGTTTCGAAACCCTCGGATACACTCAACCTATCAAACTCGGAGGTTAGAGAATCCACTGGAGAAAGGGGAGCAGTAGGGCCTGTAGGATAGACTTTATTTTTAACGTAGGAGTCCACCAATTCTCCGCTGGTGTTCGTTAAGCCTTTGAATGTAAATACGACAGGTTGAGATCCTCCATAGGCCAGCAAGTTGTGAGCTGGATCTTTCGTAAAATCCTGAGAAAACGAGCAAACCGGCGGTGTCGGAGAACATTTTCCATAAGTATCGTCGTTGAAAAAGATATTCAGAGATGTAGGACTTCCGGTCACACTAGACATAGGAGAGAGATCTCCGGCCGAACCTAGGCTGAAGCTACATAGGGACAAGGCCTTTGGTCTTGTGGGAATAAAGTTTTCTTGATGTCTTACTGTTTGTAAGCCGACTTGGAGATTACAGATCAAAGTCTTTCTTGCTTCTTCGCTATAATGAATAAAATGGCACCTGGATCCATAGGGGCACAACCCTGTGGTGTGAAATGTACGACACAACTCCGTTTTGTATTTTTTGTGTCGGGTTAAAGTGCGGAGCTCGTGCATTCCATGGGCGAATTGGCACTTGTCGCCATACTTACACGTTCCACTTTCTTCGAATGGTCGGCACATCTCGGTCTTGTAACGGCCAGAATTTGCTTGGCTGGGCTTGGCTTGGGCAATACTTACAGCAGAGTCACTGATCGTGTCATCAAATTTTTGGTGTTCTCGTCCACTGCTACATGTATTAAAAATATTAGAAATGTTAACATTCGATATAGAATTTGTCGGTAACATGGAAGAACCAGGTTTTTGATGCATGCCGGTTGAAAGACTTGTTCAGTTCCCCCTTCTCGGACCCACGTTAATCTGAGCTGACTATTTCTGCAACACGTAATGTTATTTTAACTAACTTATGAATCATCGTGACCTTAAACCGTTCCTTTAAACAGACTCTTTCTTACCTTGTTATACGTAACACCACAGTCATCAAAACGACGTGATACCATTGCTATTGACATACTGTGCGCTCACCCAAACTGATCGCTCAGATATTCTGTATTTCCCTGCTTTCACTACTTGCGAGGCTCTTCTAGCTACTCCCAAAAGATAATGACGTAATTGAAGGTGGAGTTTCAGCCTCATATACCCAATGAGTGACTACGTTGCATTTCATAGTACGTGATGCTTTATATCAGAGTTGCTTGCGGATATTAGTCTGTCGGTAATTGGTTGCGAAAGCTTAATATTAGAAAATAATAAACATATTATGCAAAGTAATAAATGATAAAGTGGTCGATATGAGTCCGCAGTGAAAGTCTATAGCTTAACTTGTATAAACCATATTAAGTGACAATAATTTTCTTACATTTTTAAAAGATCTTACAATGTTAAATTTTATATTTCGAAATGAAACTAAGTGCAACTTCAAAACGTATCGAACTTTGCGCTCATCTCATATTGTTGGCTAGCGTGCCCGGATTATGAATCATGTTTCGGGTCCCATTACCGTACTTTGCGGCCGTGAGCACGCTATAGTGTGGCAATCAAATACTATTATTCGATCATATGAGAGTAACCCTAGAGCTGGCGTTAAGTGCTGTTGACTCTCTCCATTATCTCTAGTTTATCAGGTTAAGATTATGGAAAACTATATGTGCCGACATCCCTTATGTAGCCAGCTTTAGAGTAAAACCTGAAACGAACAAAACTTCACGTTATTATAGACGTCAATAGTGAAGGACATTTCCTTGCGATATTTATTATGGAAAACTATATGTGCCGACATCCCTTATGTAGCCAGCTTTAGAGTAAAACCTGAAACGAACAAAACTTCACGTTATTATAGACGTCAATAGTGAAGGACATTTCCTTGCGATATTTATTTCCATTATAACACTTGATTCCTTTTATTTCAGTGTAAAAACGTTTCCTCTCGTAGAGTATATTATAATATTGGGAAGTTCACTGTTTGTGAATTATAGTAACCTTTAATATTATTTTCGCTCCTTATCTAATTATATGTTGTGTGTTTTGGATTTGTAAATTCCAGTAGTTCTAAGTTAGCTTATTTACGTTGTTTAAAACTGATAACGTAGGTAAATTAATATGCAGAAATATACACGGACTTTTCTCTACGTTAAAATACTGTTGTTGTAAAAGCTCGAGCAACTAAGCGTGTTTGCAATGAGGCTTAATCACGTGACTTTTCCCGCCATTTCACAATAACTCCACGTGTGAGAGAACGTGGGAAACTAGATTCAAGGTATAGGGTGCGACACGGCTCGGATGATAGTGTATTAAAGTGCAACTTTAAACACTATTACGTAAAGAAGTTGGAAAATCGCATGGCGTTGTTACGTCTCCGTTTGTTAATTGATTTTTCCGTAACTTCGTTCCGACGAAATTTTAACGACACAAGTCTTTACTTAATAAAACTGGTTTATTCTTTCCGAATATAACTCTGCGATACACTTAATCTCAATACTCGCA